TCAACAAAATACAACGAAATCGATACGGATGCAATCAGTCCTAGAAAAAGAAAAATTGAAGCTGTAAAAAGAAAGTTAGAGGAAGAACTACAACAAGACATGCTTCCAAGTCCGGGGTGTGAAATTGACAATAGCAGAGACAGCCAATACTGTCTAACACATATGCAAAAAATCAACAAGTGTTGGGTACTTCAACCGGTAGACTACAAACCTACACGGAAATGCATAAAAGACGATAAAACTCCGCCGACATCGCCAGCATCGTTCATTGATGAGCTGCCCGACATATTAAGTGTTAGTGGCGATGAAACAGACGAACAAGAAAAAACAAGCTGTGAAAAAAAAAAACAAAAAAAAAAACTAAAAAACATTACAAACAACGAATACATACACATTACAAACAGACAATATAAAGGACACAAAATACAAAACAAATTACTGTATTGTAATGAAGACATTGAGGAATTACTACTAGACATTAGATTTCGAAACGAACACAAATGTCAAAAAAATTACATCGTTGCACACACGCATTAACAGTGAAAATCTTTTCTCCATCACAGGCATGGCGCTTCTATTATATATTGTATCTTTACGAAATAAATATATATTCAAATACATCAATGGCATTGATTATTATTCCAATTTTATATTAATTTTTATATATATATATATATATATATATATATATATATATACTAATATATTAAAATTATACTAAAATAATACTAACGCATGAGCATGACCTTTGAAACAGCGACAGTGGTGCTAAAAGAAAATCAGCGCGGACGCACGTATCACCAGTTAAATAATAATTACAGCAATGGCGAAGTTAAGTTTAATGGGCACCTCATCCAACATTGATGGCATACAGCCACACGTATTCTATTTTATTCTAAAACCATTGATTAAAAATAAGAAACAGCTAGCTAGGCACAACCCCCATAACTTTTACGTAAAAACACTGGGAAAAACTTTAAAGTTCCAAAAAATCTGTGGGGAAGTGATTTCAGAGACCCCAGCAATCCCAATGGAGACCTCTTCCTTAAGGAAAGAAAATACCAAATTAAAAACAAAAGTGTTGAAACAGAACAAAAAAAAAAAAAAAAAAAAAAAAAAAGATATTTCTTTTAAAACAAAAGTTACAGAAACTGCAATCAATTTTAAAAAAATTGAAAAGAAGTAAAAGTCCACACACTTGACATCCAGGAAAATTCACTACTCCTGTTTGTTAAGTGGAGTGACAGCAAAAAATGTTCCTGGACTTTTGACAAAATTATCAAAGTATATACAGGAACGAAAGTTTATGATAAAATCAGAGGCAAAAGTTGGCCGTATGTTAGTTGAGCTGGCTTTTTTTTTTGTTTCAGATTTAAAAACGGCTTATTCCATTCTGGCATCAGACAATGTTATACTAATTTTTGATGCAACAACACAAGATGGAGTTCATGTGAATTGTGTTATGCTAACAACACCATCTTCATCCCATCTTGTGTCAATTGAACATTGGCTGGTGGGACTGCAGAGGATTATCGGCAGCATATTTTGCAGAGTATCCAACAACTTTCTCAGTTGCATTCCAAAGTTTCCGGTTTAAGTTTTGATATTACATATAGAAAAATAGTGTCAAATATTAAGTGTTGCTTGACTGACCGGGCACCAGTCAACCACTTGACTGTTTTTCTACTTGAAAAAGACTGGAACAAAAGTCTTATTGAGTTAAACTGCAATGTTCATCCACTTGAAGCAGTTTCTTCCCGCATTAAGAAGGAACTGCATGCGTGTGAACTGAATAAATTTTCTGATGACTGTGTAGCATGGCATATTATTATGGCTATGAATGCATTACGGTACAGTAATAAATATCGCCATGTTGCACTAATCAAAGATTTCTTTGAGGAACAAAGGTTGCCTTTATCTGATGTTCCTAGATTCCTTGGACAAAGGCTACATGTTATTTTTAAGCTGGCGGGCATGTATTTTTCCATTTTTTGTAATTTAAAAAAATATTTGTCTTCTCTACAACCCACTAATAAAGTGGTTAAAAAGCTGAAAATGCTGGTTACCAATGAAGCAGCAGTTATAGAACTGCAAGTGCTTGGGTTAGTGGGAAAATTGTTTTCAGGCCCATGGATGAAAACATTTTACACTGACCTGAGTGCAACTCAAGATCCTGTAAATACTATAACTGCTGTGAAAAGTGTCCTTCAAAACTTGAAAAATGTGATTTTTCCCAAATTGAAAAAGACTTTTTTGGTAACATGCTACCAGAAAAAGATAAGAAAATTTTCCTGGTTGCCCCAAGTAATTTTTCGAATGTTCAAAAAAATGTTTTTGGCATCCGTAAAAGGAATTATAGACGTTTTAGAAAGACGATACAGTAAGTCTTTCGCTACTGTTGAAAATTCTGTGGAAACTGTTTTAACTTCCGTTCGGCAGCATACTATGGAAATAGAAAGTGTTATTGGTGAGTACTGAAAAAAAAAAAAAAAACAAAAAAACAAAACAGGATTTCTCCAAATGCTTATGTATCAAGCATTAGTCACTTAATTAAAGCAAAAAGGAACAATGTTTGGTCAATTTTTAACAAATTAAGTGATGCTGAATTTCATAATTACTGCAATTTGGCAATACCATACAGTAGCCACGTGTGTGCCGAACGGAAGTCTAAACAAAAACTGGTAGAAATTGAAATGAAAAAGAATAAAAGAAAAAAGATTGTTACAGGACAAAAAAAAAGAGTGCAACCAAACTTGTAAGAGTTTAATGAAATTAAACCACACAATTACTGACATTCAGGTAGAATTTCCTTCTTTGGAATTTGACTGTTTCTAAAATTTTGGATATATTACACGGCAAATTAACCGGTCAACGAATTACCCACATTTGGAATGCCAGTTCTGTTGACCAGTTATTTGTTGGGTCAGTTAATCACTTTTCTGATCCATATTACAATATTTTCTACGAAACCGAAAGCGAGGACTATGATTTACATAAGTGTGATATGGCCACTGATTTCATTATGAATGATTTGGACATCACATATAGTGACTTTCCCGGATAGGACAACTACATGAAGCTGATTGAGGAGTATGGAATAACATCTTAATTGGTGTAATATATTTTTCAAATTTAAAAAGTATTTGATTACTTTAAAACCCACTAATAAAGTGGTTAAAAAGCTGAAAATGCTTTTTATTAATGAAGCAGCAGTTATAGAACTGCAAGTGCTTGGGTTAAGGGGAAAATTGTTTTCAGGCCCATGGATGAAAAAATTTTACACTGACCTGAGTGCAACGCAAAATCCAGTTAACACTATGAATAGTGTAAAGAGTGTTATTCTGAATTTGAAAAATTTGAGAATTTGAGATTTTTCACAACTACAAAAAGACTTTTTTGGCAACTTGTTACCAGAAAAAGAAAATTTTTCCTGGTTGCCCCAATTAATTTTTCATTGTTTAAAAAAAAAAAAAAAAATGTTTTCTGTATCCGTACAAGGAATACTTGAAGTTTTGGAACGACAATATAGCAAGTCGTTCTCTACTGTAGAAAATTCTGTCAATTCAGGCTCCAGTCAACCACTTGACTGTTTTTTTTTGCTGGAGAAAGAGTGGGGCACACACCTAATTGAATTAAATTGCAATGTACAGTCATTAGAAGCCATTTCCAGCAGAGTGAAGAAGGAACTTCAAGCTTGTAAAGAGAAAACCATCAAGTGTTCTGCTGAGTGCATCGCATAGAAAATGATCATAGCATTTAATTCACTCACATTCAGAGACAAATACATGTGATGACAATTGAAGACTTTATCAAGCAAGAATGGTTTCAAATACCAAGATTCTGCAGGAACCAGTTTTAATTAGGTGTTGAGTATTTCTCCATTTTCCCGAAACTTAGAAAGTGTGCTTGGTCTGTTAAAAAACCCAAAAACAAAATTGAGAAGTTGAAAATACTTGTAACGGAGGAAGCAGCAGAAGTCGAACTACAAGTGCTGGGAATAATGGCAAAGATGTTGCTTTGATCTTGTATGTATAAGTTTATACAGATTTAACATCTGTAGAAAATCCAATTAAAACTATGCAAATAGTTAAAGATGTAATTGGAGAGTTTAAAAAAAAAAAAAAAAAAATAAAAAAATAAAAAGGGAGGAGCAATCAAAAAAAAGGTTTAACTGGCTACGGAGGACTTCTTTGGGAATGCTTTGTCAAAGGCTGACAAAGAAAAACTGATGGTTACCACGAAATGAGGAACTATCACTATGACTTTTAACGGGGAGCTTAATGCTGGTCCTCCTCCCATAGGGTCCAGCTGGTATCAGCCGTTGGGCTGGCTAAGAGTGCAGATGTTGTCTGCAGACAATAAATGTGGGGTGACCGTGCTTACTCAATGCGCCGATCCCTGTGGGGTTGCCATCCCCCTGGGATTGTATACACCTAGTACAGAAAACGTAAAATTAGTCTCGACATTCACCCACGAGATGTGGGATACCAAAACTTTAACAAACTTCCTTGCTGATCCGGAAGACTTGCGCAACCCCCATGGGAGTTGCCCTGTTTGACCGTGCGCTTTTATGCGAGCAGCCAGCTTCGCCGCCCATCTATGGAAAAAAACATCCTGCCGAATAGAGCAACAAAGAAAAGGCGCGACGCCTCGCGTCGCTCTAATGCCCGCACCTATGCTCGGCAGTCCCGAGGTGAGTTGGAGCGTATGGCTGCGATAGAGCGCGAGGCGTTGTCCAAAGGTGTGCGAAATGTGAATTCGTACATAGCACCTTACTTAGCACGCCGTAAGGATCAGATTGGCTGCAGGCGAAAGAAGGACGACTATAAAGCCATTCTGAAATCGCTTGAAAGCGAAGCCCAATGGTGGCCGGGCACAAGCTGTTCCCGACAGCCCCAGGAGCTACTACCCAACTAATGGATACTTTGAGAGCTCCGGAAGAAGGCCCGGTCACAAATTGTTAGCAGAAGAGATTAAAGTCCTCCAACAGGTGCCACCCGATGTCCCGGACGCTGAACTGGTCCCTCTCCTTCTTGGCCATACAGTCTAAAAGGTGGCGTCTCATTGCCCAGAGGATCGGACCGGTCGGGTCTGCGAACCAGATCCCAACGGATGAAGAGCAGGTCATGGTCGAGTCCCAGCCGTACAAACACATCCAGACAGAAAATAACCGATTACATTAACAGCATCCTTCCTTCCATCACAGACGCCCGTGGTTCGGGAGAAGGCCAAACAGGCCATCGGTGACCCTAACGGCTTCTCTATACGATACAATCAGTTCTTCCCGAAAAACAGGACTGTTAGCAGGCGGGTAATACCGGCGGTGAAGGTGGGAGTGAAGAGGAGGCACGCCCAGCGTACTATAATCTTTAACTTCCTCCAGAACCTCCATAAGTAGTAGCCGAACAGGTCCTCGACAGCGACCTCTTATGAGGGGCGTGTTGCCGAACGGGCCTTTTCCGACGAGGACTTCTTGTGCAAGTGGAAAGTGGTGTCTGAACGTCCCTGTTACGAAGACCTGGCCGAAAACCATACTGGCCCGCCGATGAACGAATTAGCTGCACCCATCAAGGTGGCCGATGTCGCCGCCTTAATTGCATCATTAAAAGAATCGTTCCCTGGACCTGATGGCCTCCACCTTTCCATCCTGTGGGGAATCCCCATAGAGGTTATCACCATTCTGTACAACCTGCTACTGCTAAAAGGACCGTTGCCCACATCTTCACCTCTCGGGTGACTTTCATCAAGAAGGTGGAGGTGCCCGGCAATGCTCTCGAGTTGTGACACTATGAGTTGGATATATGTGCATGCGTGTGTGTGCGCGCGCGCACACATATGTGCGAGAAGATTAGTTAGATTTGACCTGGGCGTAAAAACATGTTTTGGACATATGGCCAAAAGGGTAGATAAGTGTTAAGTACTTGTCAAAATACGAAGATAGTTACAAGACCGGCTCTGGTCAAATACTTAAAAGGGTCTGAATTTAATGTCCCTGGATCGGAGTCAGCTAGGTTAATAAATATTTTTATGTCCACTTTCTTCAAGGGGAGAAATGGTCATGAAAAAGTTATGGGTTTATTTGTGGGTGTCTCTTGCACGGAAATGATAAAAGAGGACTCAGCATATATACAGGAGCGCTTTGGGTTTCGAGAGAGTTTAGGTTCGAGGAAGGTTGATTCAGGCCGGAGCAAGTAACAACAAAGAGCGACACATTAGCAGCCGGACATTGTTAGTTAAGATATATTATTTTTTGCCAGCCGAGAATCAGCCCAGAGTTAATTATCCACAAAAGGTCACACGTCCTCCCTCCTCTTTTCGTCCTACCCAAGTTTGTAGTTGTGTTTTTCTTTTGCCTGTGAGCCTGCCTCTCGCTTGATCCGCCGCACAGAAATTCTACGACGTGGGGTCTATATCTTTGTGCAACGAGTTGCAGAGGTGGGTAGCTTCACACATTGACCATTTTCACATGGTGACATGGCATACGAATCACCCTATGAGTGAACACAGTGTGAGCAATTCTGCAAACACATATGGAATAATCAAAGTCTACTGAGAAAACCAATAACCAATGTAATGACACAGGGGAATTACGTGGTACAAGGTAGTATGGTATCTGGAACTGGACTAATCAAATCTTCAATCACAGCCGGTACTTCAACTGCGGGCTAGATATCAGTACGGCACTGAAATACGGGACACTAATCGCAGAAGCAGAAAAAAACTTGGCACATGGTGAGTCACGAAAACGTATGCGAACAGAGACACAAGACGATCTTTGTATGACAGAGGTCGCGGACATTGCGTTCGATCATCAGCGCGGAAGAAAAACAAATTCCACAAAGAAAGGGTTAAAACTAGAGCAACATGAACAATCTTCGGGGTGCGTAACCGTTTCAAACAGGACATTAATCAACAAAGTGCTATACACAAACGAAGACGCACCAGAAATGATACTAATTCATGTACCGCCTATACTGAGACCAAACGCAACTAGCGGAATACTATTCTTCTCCTTCGAATTAACGTATATGTTAGAAGTGGAATGCTTTTACGAATCACTTGTACATCCACAAAAAGTGCCACTTACCGACCACACATGTGCATTAATGGCAACGTCAGCGGATTTCAATTACGAATTAGAATGCATAGTACCGCCAAACAGGCATTTCCACGGCCAATCAGCGAAAGGAATGACACATAATCACTCCACCCACATCTGGGAAAAGAACAAAAAAAAATGATAGGATTAGGTTATGGGAACTTCGTTAACAAATAACACTGGTACAAAAATGCTGATTATGCAATAATTTGAAACATATATAAACTACAAATTCAAACAGACTCTCACAGTAACCAACTGCAAACACGACCGGCATCATGTCAGCTTGCGAAGACTACGGAAGAACTCAACAAGAAAAAAATCGTTTCAATAGCATCGTGCTAAACGACGAAAATAACGGAAAAAAGATTACTCCGTATACATGGATATATCGCTGGACTAGCGAAAATGAGTTCACATTGAAAACACATGACGACAAAATTCTGGACTACAAGCCATCCACAGTGTTTAGACATAACGAAGCTCATCGATACCTACAGAAAGTGTGTGATAACAGACCATATACTATAATATACCACAAAGCAGGAGAATCTAAACTGAAAAACTGCTCCGATGTGGATCATTTTCACATGTTGACCTGGCACGTGGCTCATCCAACTTCAGAACACAGCTTCATTACGCTAAAAAGAATACTCAACGAACGATCTGAGCACCCGTATAATATCAACTGCCCAAAAGTTTATAACCCATACGGTTTATGTGCGTACCTAGAGCGCGAACCGGAGAAAAGAATTGCTGTAGCAGCCGGTAATCTGACCACAGAGGGACAGAAAGTTGTACTAAGAAAGATTACGAAGAAACGATATCAAGCCATGCAACAAACAGAATACGACAACAGCGAGCTACCTTGCGCGGGAAAAGTACGATTTCATCATCAAGATAATGAAAAAATGTAGCAGTACCGATGTAGGGGATATAATGATCTATTGCAAAAACACGAACAACGAAACAATAAGGGATGTGTGGGCCAATATCTTCAGAAACACATCAAACCTCAACAATATCATCCAAGCAGCGGCAAGTGATGTCAATATACAAACGAAAGTGACACCAATCTACGAACAGATCCGGCAAAAAACTGAATTCTTCAATATGGAAAGTAATCGGTACTGGGGAATAAAAAAATCCCTAGACATCTACAGTGAGTGGTGCAAATACCACAACATAGATCCAGATGATTTCGGTACCAAACTATTCAAGGTGTGCCATAAAATTAGACCGAAGATCAACGGTCTACACATAACTGGAGTATCAAACAGCGGCAAATCGTACGTGCTCAGATCGATTAGAAACGGTCTGATGAACTGTGGGAGGATGCGTTGTCAGGCGTCTGATAATTTCACATATGGATCGTGCGTTGATAAAACGCTCATATACACTGATGAACTGTGGTTTACTCCGCAGAATATAGAAGAAGGCAAGTGCATACTGGAAGGGTCGGAGACATACGTCAACGTTAAGCATCAAAATGAACGGTTGCTGAAAAGAACACCGTCCCTATCCACAAGTAATGACGATCCATGGAGACACACGCAGGGCGAAAGAAAGGCTATGGAAAATAGATTGTTCCTTTTCAACACCACCAGACCTATGAACGAACTGAAAGAATGGGGAACTATTGAACTCAACCCTGTGATGTGGCTGACAATCTGGCGTAGATGTATCGATGATTACATAAACAAACGGTATATCCCAAAGTCAGAAAACACACACAGAGAACCGGCCAGATCGAATACATACACCGTCAGCGATACAGACGCAATGAGTCCACGTAAAAGAAAAATAGAAGCAGTAAAGAGAAAACTAGAAGAAGACTTAAAATACAACATACTGCCAAGTCCCGGTTGTGAAATTGATCAAACAAACGAAAGCCAATATTGCATGACACACAATCAGAAAAATCAACAAATGTTGGATTCTACAACCAGTGGATTACATCCCGAACCGAAAATCGATGAAGGAATGCGAGACACCGCCAGCTTCAATAGAAGATGAACTGCCTGAAATCTTAAATATCAGCAGCGAAGAGGAGGAACAAGACGAATACATACAATTTAAAGAAAAAAAAAAAAAAAAAAAAAAAAAAAAAAACAACTTTAAGTAAAAAATACAAACAACGAATTCATACACATTACAGAAAGAGAGTACCGAGGACATAACATACAAAACAAACTTTTATACTGTAACGAGGACATTGAAGAACTACTACTAGATATCCGATTTCAACGTGAACACAAATGCAGAAACAATTATATTATTGCACACATGCATTAACAGTGAAATTCTTTTCAGCATCACAGGCAAGGTGCCTTTCTATTATATGTATCTTTATTAAATAAATATATATTCAAATACGTCAATGGCATTGATTGTTATTCCAGTTTTATATTGTTTTTCCAATATAAATATACTAATATATTAATAACGCATGAGAATGACCTGTGAAACTGTGACTGTGAAGTGAAAAGATTTTCTGCGCGGACGCGTGTACCACCATTGAAATAAGAAAAAAAGCAGTCAAAGGTAAGTCTAAGGGGCACCTCATCCAACATTGATGGCAGCCAGTCACACGTATTTTATTCTATTCTAAAACTTTGCCTAAAGAACAAAGGGCAGCTGGCCAGGCTGACCCCCCATAACTTTTACGTAAAAGTTATGGGGGGTCAGCCTTGCTTGGGGCATTAGGCACCTTAGCTGTAGGATGCTTGGACCAATCAGAAACCTGGTTTTAAAAATAGCTAGGCTGAACATCCAATGAAAAAAATTTTTTTTTTTTTTTTACTTGGAAGGAAGTGCTTTTTTCCTCCACTTGGCGGCCATTGCAAAAGTTTCTGGAAACTTTTCATGCTTCTAAGAGTCTTCAAGAAACTTCGGTTTGTGCAGTTATCAACCAGCTAGCCTCCTGCATTTGTCTAGCAGCTGGGGAAGAAAACCAAGTAAGTACCTACCCTTTTCTTTTTACTTTGATGGAAAAACATTTTTGTGCGATTTTTTTTTTTGCATTGCCAGGCACCTTGTGACTTCCTGGCTGACGCACTGGTGAGTGTCTGTTAATAGCCTACATTTTTCCATAGGCCTATATTTAAAACAAAAGTGTGTACGTTCTTGTGTTGTATTTTTTTTTCTTTGAAAGATGCACAATAATTAAGCATGTCAGCATCTAATATGAAATGTGAGGGGTGCTTAATGCCCCAACTTAGTTTTAGATCACTGATTTAAGGTTGGGGTGAAGCAGGGCATTAGGCACCCCTTTTTTGGGCCAATTATATTTTACTGTAAAAAGTAAATACTGAAATAGTTTATAACTAGAGCCTAAACAGTAGGCATAAATGTTGATAAAAATTTCTTCATTCAGGCCTATAAAAAAAAAAGAAGTTTGGGTTTACTTTACAGTTCTTAGATCTAGCCTATTTTACAGCTAATGACTGTGCTGTTTTGTTCTGTTACAGAATGGTGCGCACCTACAAGAAGAAGACTGACGGTGGAAGAAGAAATTTCAGCAACTCTCAAGAAATGGCCGATGCATACAATGCTAAAAAGAAAGGGGAGATGTCAGTTACTCAAGCCTCACAGAAAGTATTTTGGCATCAACAAAAAATCACTTGACAAAATTTTAAAACAAACAACACCACGAGAAGAAATTCCCGTTGGACTGCGACATTCCAAGCTAGGGCGATAACTTCTCAGCAGTCAAAAACATTGTAGAAGCTACCCCGACAGAAATTGCGTGGGCAGAGCAACAGCTCTGTCTTCTATACATGAGCGGAACTTGCAGATACTTTAAAACTCCTAGCAGGGTGGGGATGGGGATTCACTGGAGAAGAAGCCAAAAGAACATTGTGAAAGAGTTTACCACAGAAATGAACATCGAGACTCCATTCACAGAAGGTCGGCCCGGTTATGACTGGTTGGATGGATTTTGAAGAATACGTGAACCCTGTAACCCTGATGTAGTTCCCAGGAAGACTGAACACCTGAGCAATGCAATAGCAAGAGCTGAAGACCCAGCTGTCATCAAACATTTTTTGAAATGTTCCACAAGGTACTGATGGACAATAATGTCATGGACATGAGTGCCCAGATTTTTTAATGTTGATGAGAGTGGCTTCAAACGTGATGGACCCCAAACCACAACCCCAAACCACAACTCGTCCTTGCAGAAAAAGGTGCCAAACGAGTGACTCAAAACATTGGAGGGTCAGGAAGGGAGCAGATCACCGTGAACTGCGCTGTGTCTGCCAGTGGAAAAGTGTTGCCACCTTATGTGGTGTATCAAGGGAAGAATCTGTATGTCGCCTGGATTCAAGGTGGACCTGATGGAGCCTGTTACACTACAAGCGCAAAGGGGTGGATGGAAGCACTACAGTTTCTGGACTGGTTCCTTAAAATCTTCCTTCCTCACACTGCAGATGTCAGTGACAAAGCAAAGATGCTTGTCTTCGATGGACATGCATCACACCTTTCTCCCGAGCTCACTGAAAAAGCAAAGGAGAACAATGTTGTCTTGGTTCGACTACCAGCTCATCTCACCCATCTTCTTCAGCCTCTGGATCGAGCTGTCTTCAGACCAGTGAAGGCGAAGTGGCAATCTCCTTGTCAAACATGCAAGAACCCACAATGGGCCTGTCTCCAAGAAAGATTTTCCAGCCAAGCTGAAAGTCCTTTTTGAGGAGTCTTTTGGCAGGGACACTGTGAAAGCAGGATTCAGCTCAACAGGTCTATGTCCTTTCAATCCATCAGCAATTGTTCTTCCAGAGAGGCCTCAAGTTGGATCCATCACATCTGCCTCCACTTCTGATGATCACCAGCCCTCTGGTTTCATGCTGCAGACCTCCACTTTCAGTCCCCTACCGCAGACCTCCACAAGTTCCAGTCCCTTCCCACAGACCACTTCCAGTCCCCTGCCGCTTACCCCCATTCACTGTCCCCTGCTGCAGGCCTCTACCTCTGGACACCAGCTACAGCACTCTACTGGTTACCAGACCATGGGTGCTGTTTCATCTCCATCTCCTGTCCTTTCCTTAGGCCTAAAGGACTTTTTTTTGAAGCAGCTGCAACCACGCTTCAGCATGAGTACAGGCAGGTCAGCACGAGTGCAACGCTTTCGCTATGGTGAAAGTCTGACGTCCGAAGAAAGCCTGAAAAGAGCAAGAGAAGCAGCTGAAGCAAAGGAAGCTGCCACTACAAGAGAGAGAGGGAAAGGGAAAGGAAAAGGCAAAGGACGAGGAAAACAGACCAAACGTGAGGAATCGCCTTGTAACAGCAACAGGTCTCGAAGCCCAGTTTCCAGTGACAACGAAGAATGCAAGCGATGTGGCCAAAGTGGAGGCAACAACTGGATCCAGTGTGATATCTGTGATAGCTGGTACCACACTAGGTGGGAAAACATTACAGCCACACTGGAGGAACTGGAAGAAATGGAGTGGTTGTGCAGTTTTTGTACCCAGTAGGGTAGGGTGCTTAATGCCCCAGGTGCTTGGTGCTTAATGCCCTGGACATCAAAAATTAAGGTCAGATTTTTTTTATCCAACAAACTCATCCAGAATACGCTTACTTTCAAATTTTCAGTTAAAGAAACACTGGATTAACTTAATTATGTTATTTTCTATATAGCGTGACAAAAAACAAGTCACTGGTTCTTATAAATCAGGCAAAAATCATATATAATTAACAGAACTATAAAAAGGGGGTGCCTAATGCCCCGCTGTACCCTACTCCTGTTTGTTAAGTGGAGTGACAGCAAAAAACGTTCCTGGACTTTTGACAAAATTATCAAAGTATATACAGGAACGAAAGTTTATGATAAAATCAGAGGCAACAGTTGGCCGTATGTTAGCTGAGCTGGCTTTTTTTTCAGATTTAAAAACGGCTAATTCCATTCTGGCATCAGACAATGTTACACTAATTTTTGATGCAACAACACAAGATGGAGTTCATGTGAATTGTGTTATGCTAACAACACTATCTTCATCCCATCTTGTGTCAATTGAACATTTGGCTGGTGGGACTGCAGAAGATTATCGGCAGCATATTTTGCAGAGTATCCAACAACTTTCTCAGTTGCATTCCAAAGTTTCCGGTTTAAGTTTTGATATTACATATAGAAAAATAGTGTCAAATATTAAGTGTTGCTTGACTGACCGGGCACCAGTCAACCACTTGACTGTTTTTCTACTGGAACAAAACTCTTATTGAGTTAAACTGCAATGTTCACCCACTTGAAGCAGTTTCTTCCCGCATTAAGAAGGAACTGCATGCATGTGAAGTGAATAAATTTTCGGATGACTGTGTAGCATGGCATATTATTATGGCCATGAATGCATTACGGTATAGTAATAAATATCGCCATGTTGCACTAATAAAAGATTTCTTTGAGGAACAAAGGTTGCCTTTATCTGATGTTCCTAGATTCCTTGGACACAGGCTACACGTTATTTTTAAGCTGGCGGGCATGTATTTTTCCATTTTTTGTGATTTAAAAAAATATTTGTCTTCTCTACAACCCACTAATAAAGTGGTTAAAAAGCTGAAAATGCTGGTTACCAATGAAGCAGCAGTTATAGAACTGCAAGTGCTTGGGTTAGTGGGAAAATTGTTTTCAGGCCCATGGATGAAAACATTTTACACTGACCTGAGTGCAACTCAAGATCCTGTAAATACTATAACTGTTGTGAAAAGTATCCTTCAAAACTTGAAAAATGTGATTTTTCCCAAATTGAAAAAGACTTTTTTGGTAACATGCTACCAGAAAAAGATAAGAAAATTTTCCTGGTTGCCCCAAGTAATTTTTCGAATGTTCCAAAAAATGTTTTCGGTATCCGTAAAAGGAATTATAGACGTTTTAGAAAGACGATACAGTAAGTCTTTCGCTACTGTTGAAAATTCTGTGGAAACTGTTTTAACTTCCGTTCGGCAGCATACTATGGAAATAGAAAGTGTTATTGGTGAGTACTGAAAAAAAAAAAAAAAAAAAAAAAAAAAAACAGGATTTCTCCAAATGCTTATGTATCAAGCATTAGTCACTTAATTAAAGCAAAAAGGAACAATGTTTGGTCATTTTTTAACAAATTAAGTGATGCTGAATTTCATAATTACTGCAATTTGGCAATACCATACAGTAGCCACGTGTGTGCCGAACGGAAGTCTAAACAAAAACTGGTAGAAATTGAAATGAAAAAGAATAAAAGAAAAAAGATTGTTACAGGACAAAAAAAAGAGTGCAACCAAACTTGTAAGAGTTTAATGAAATTAAACCACACAATTACTGACATTCAGGTAGAATTTCCTTCTTTGGAATTTGACTGTTTCTAAAATTTTGGATATATTACACGGCAAATTAACCGGTCAACGAATTACCCACATTTGGAATGCCAGTTCTGTTGACCAGTTATTTGTTGGGTCAGTTAATCACTTTTCTGATCCATATTACAATATTTTCTACGAAACCAAAAGCGAGGACTATGATTTACATAAGTGTGATATGGCCACTGATTTCATTATGAATGATTTGGACATCACATATAGTGACTTCCCCGGATAGGACAACTACATGAAGCTGATTGAGGAGTATGGAATAACATCTTAATTGGTGTTGTTCCCAGGACAAGTTTAACATGAGGAGGAAGTACCTGTTAGGGCCCCAGCTTGGGGGGGGGGGGGGGGTAGTTTGTTTGGAAAAAAAAAAAAAAAAATACAGCCCTTTTCAGGGCCACCAAATTTAATGACAAGTAGCATTGAAGGAGGCCTCAATACAGCATGGGATTTTGGTCTGGACGTGAGCACCGCACCAAGATACGGTACAACGCTAAAAAAGGCCGAAGAAAATCTAGCCGTTGGAAGTAAGCTGCGTAAACGTTGTCGAGAAGCTATACAGGAGGACTTAGCGATGACAGAGGTAGCAGACATTGCATTCGACCATCAACAAAGTATAGAGACCGACGATACGTCAAAATGAGAATAAACCTCGGGGTGCTTCACTGTTGCAAACAGAACAATAATAAACAAAGTTCTATATACTAACGAAGATGCACCAGAAATGGTGCTTATACATGTTCCGTCCATACTGAGACCGAATTACACAAGCGGATTTCTAAACTTCACGTTCAAGATGACATACGTGGTGGAAGGGGAATGCTGCTACGACAATATGTCACACCCGCAAAAGGTGCCGATAGACGATCACACATGCACATTAGCAGCGACGTCTGCTGATTACAATTACGAACTCCATAACGTAGTGGCCCCGAACAGGCATTTTCACGGTCAGGAAGCAAAAGGAATGGTACATAATCATTCAACCCATATATTGGCTGATGAGAAAAGCAAAAAGACCTCGGGTTACAGCTATGGTAACTTCGTAGACAAGTAGGAATGGCATTAGATATCAAATTACGAAGTAGAAGAAAACAAATAGTGACTTTACAAAGAAGCGAGTAACACTTTCAAGACGCCAATGAAAATAAATATCAGAACGAAGGTAAGGTGAATATTAGGGGAGGCACCTATGGCACGAGAGGTTAAGAAATAGCACACGTATCTTATTTTATTCTAATCTATAGGAAGGTAAGTGAGGAGGCATTGACACTTACCACTCGTTCCCACCATTAAACGTTTAATGGTGGGAATCAGTGGTAAGTGTCAATGCACACTACAGGCTTGGACAAATATACAAATATTTCAGACTAAGCTGGTCTCTCTATTATACTAATATATATTTCTAATATCTTCTACCTAAATAAATTTAGTAAGGAAAGCTTCGAAGTTTGCCACAAAATTAGACCAAAAATAAATCCATTGTTTTGCATATCACGAGTGTATCAAACAGTGGTAAATCTAAGGTTGATAAACAATGGATTGATGAACAGTGGAAGGATGCATTGTACAGCTTCAGAGAATTTCATGTTTGGGTCTTGTGTAGACAAAACATCAATTTACACAGACAAAATGTGGTTTATGCCACAAAATATCTAGGAAGCAAATGCCCCCGATAGAGACCACAATTTTAATTGAAGAAAAAAAAAAAACAAAAGACTATGGGCAGGAGTTACTATGACTCCTAACGGGGAGCTTAATGCTGGTCCTCCTCTCATAGGGTCCAGCTGGTATCAGCCATTGGGCTGGCTAAGAGTCCAGATGTCTGCAGACAATAAATGTGGGGTGACTGTGCTTACTCAATGCGCCGATCCCTGTGGGGTTGCCATCCCCCTGGGATCGTATACACCTGGTACAGAAAACGTAAAATTAGTCTCGACATCCACCCACGAGATGTGGGATACCAAAACTTTAACAAACTTCCTTGCTGATCCGGAAGACTTGCGCAACCCCCGTGGGTGCCGCCCTGTTTGCCCGTGCACTTTTACGCGAGCGGCCAGATTCGCCGCCCATCTATGGAAAAAAACATCCTGCCGAATGGAGCAACAAAGAAAAGGCGTGACGCCTCACGTCGCTCTAATGCCCGCACCCCTTGTCCCCTTAATATCGCTATGGACCAAATCCTAGAGGGGCAAGAGGAGTACGCCTTTTCTATCGGCGCGTTTGTACTGAATCAGATGGCTTACGCCGACGATCTCATACTATTCGCCAGCTCCCCTGACGAGATGCAAAAACGGATTGACCGGCTTCTTGTCGGCCTTGGTAAACTCGGCCTCGAACTAAATGCCCTGAAATGTCGCGTGTTGTGCATTCGTGGGAACAAGAAGAGGAAGTTCTGCTACGTGGACACCTCCGTGTCAGTGTTGGTGGACGGCGTTGCTCTCCCGGTTGTAACCGCTGAATCCGAATTTAAATATCTCGGAGTCAGTTTCAATTGGAGGGGCATCGCTTGGTCTCGACCATCTTTTGACCAGGCTCGATCGTGCTGCCTTAAAACCGCAGCAAAAATTGAACTTCCTTCGGAAATTCTTGCTTCCGCGCTTGCACCACCGCCTCGTTTTTGGTCGCCATCATAGGGCTAAACTGGTTAGGGGCGACAAGATGACTCGTTGGGCGGTTCGTAGGTGGCTCCGGCTGCCTGCTGACTGTCCCAATTCCGCCATACATGCTCCGGCGAGATGCGGCGGTTTAGAGGTTGCTTCTCTGGAACAGCTCGTTTCCGCTCTCAAAAGCAAACGCCTTAGCCTTTTTACTGAAGGGTACGCAGAGGATGCGCCATTAGCATCTATACCCTCAGTCCGTTCCTTAATGACCTACCGATTCCACAAATATTCCAACAGCACCCGTGAGGGCCTGGTTGAAGACCTGCATAGTAGGTTGGATACCAGGGGCCTAAAGGGGTATGACCATGTTCCGGCCGTCAACAGCTGGCTTGATTATGCCCCCGCCACCTTGGCCGGCGTTGAATTCCAGGATGCCATCAGAGTCCGCTTAGGCTGTATGGGCACGCCAGCCCGGTTCTCCCGGGGTGGTAGAAGTGTGGCCGCAATGCTCCCATGAGCCTGCCCCACGTAGCCCAAGCCTGTGGTCTCGTCGATGGCCTCCGACGGAAAAGGCACAATAATATTGTGCTATTCGTGGCCCAGGAGCTACTACCCAACTAATGGATACTTTGAGAGCTCAGGAGGAAAGCCCGGTCACAAATGGTGAGCTGAAGAGATTACAGTACTCCGACAGGCGCTACCTGATGTCCTGGACGCCGAACTGGTCCCTCTCCTTCCTGGCCATACAGTCTAAAAGGCGGCATCTCATCGCCCAGAGGATCGGACCGGTCGGGTCTGCGACCCAGGTCCCAACGGATGAGGAGCAGGTCATGGCCGAGCCCCAGCCGTACGAACACATCCAGACAGAAACTTCCTTCCATCACAGACGCCCGTGGTTCGGGAGAAGGCCAAACAGGCCATCGTGACCCTAACGGCTTCTCTATACTATACAATGAGTTCTTCCTGAAAAACAGGACCGTTAGCAGGCGGGCAATACCGGCGGTGAAGGTGAAGAGGAGGCGCACCCAGCATACTATAATCTATAACTTCCTCCAGAACCTCCATGAGTGGTAGCCGAACGGGTCCTCGACAGTGACCTCTAATGAGGGGCTTGTTGCCGAACGGGCCTTTTCTGATGAGGACTTCTTGTGCAAGTGGAAACTGGTGTCTGAACGTCCCTGTTACGCAGACCTGGCCGAAAACCATCCCGGCCCGCCGATGAACGAATTAGCTGCACCCATCAAGGTGACCAATGTCGCCGCCGTAATTGGAACATTAAAAGAATCGTTCCCTGGACCTGATGGCCTCCACCTTTCCATCCTGTGGGGAATCCTCGTAGAGGTCATCACCATTCTGTACAACCTGCTACTGCTAAAAGGACTGTCGCCCACCAGGGGCAAAGCTGGTAACATCTTCACCTCTCGGGTGACTTTCATCAAGAAGGTGGAGGTGCCTGGCGATGCTCGAGTTGATTAGTTAGATTTGACCTGGGTATCAAACTTCAAGACATAATGACTAGATTAGGAATCTAGATAAAAACATGTTTTGGACATATTGCCAAAAGGGTAGATAAGTGTTAAGTACTTGTCAAAATACAAAGATAGTTACAAGCCCGGCTCTGGTCAAAAACTTAAAAGGGTCTGAATTTGATGTCCCTGAATCGGAGTCAGCTAGGCTAAGAAATATTTTTATGTCCACTTTCTTCAAAGGGAGAAATGGTCATGAAAAAGTTATGGGTTTATTTGTGGGTGTCCCTTGCCCGGAAATGATAAAAGAGGACTCTGCATATATACGAGAGCGCTTTGGGTTTCGCCAGAGAGACTTAATTTAGGTTCGAGGAAGGTTGATTCAGGCCAGAGCAAGTAACAACGAAGAGCGACACATTAGCAGCCAGACATTGTTAGTTAAGATATATTTTTTTTGCCAGACGATAATCAGCCCAGAGTTAATTATCCACAAAAGGTCACACGCCCTCCCTCCTCTTTGGTTGTGTTTTTCTTTTGCCTGTAAGCCTGCCTTTCGCTCGATCCGCCGCACAGAAATTCTACGACGTGGGGTCTATATCTTTGTGCAATGAGTTGCAGAGGTGGGTAGCTTCACACATTGACCATTTTTACATGGTGACATGGCATACGAATCACCCTATGAGTGAACACAGTGTGAGAAATTCTGCAATTAAGCTCCTATTGGTTAATTTATACCATACCGTATTTGTACCGACCAATCTCATTGGTTTAATTTGATTTTCGCGGGCATTTTTCAACGGCCCCTGCCTTTTTCCAGGGGACGGAGTCTAGGTAAAATACTTTGATTGTCGGTAATGATAATCAAGTTCACTCTGCTGTAGTATTAAAAGACGGGTGTGAACAGATTCACTCATTAAATTCTCTTTTATTTATGGAAGGTGGCGGCTCCTTTTTCTGCCCTACTTGTTCTGTTGCTAATGACGGATTAGCTCCTATGGTGTGCTGTGACTCATGTGATAGCTAAAGTGATACCAGCTGTGTTGGAATTAACCAGCAGGACATTGTGGGGGAGTAGTTTCGTCCAAACTGTACGGACAAAGTTTCACAATAACCTTATATATCCCACACATGTGGTTATTAGACTTAAGTAAAAGTCACCCACCCCTTTTTATAGATATACTGATCTAAATATCTAGATTATTGTTGCAATTGAATTAACAGCAGACAAGGCCAGCATATTCAAATTTAATAATAATAATAATTAACTGAATAGTCAACAGTTAAGTCCCTAGGGACAACCTTGTTACCTGTCACTTATCGACAGTTTTTGATTACCTTATCCTTATTGGAAAAAAAAGAATAAAATAAAAGTAATGATTAACCATTACTTTTACCTTTCTTCCTTGGCAGTGTGTGAGAAATTCTGCAATTAAGCTCCTATTGGTTAATTTATGCCACACCGAACTACTACGTTCAGGGGGTCGATGGTAGCAGAGCCGTCTATAATGTAGCATCACAGGGGGTATAAGCACAGCCTGGGATACCGGATTGGATGTAAGCACAGCACCGAGATACGGTACACTTGCGAAGGAAGGTAAATCGAACCTGGAGCACGGAAAGGCCCAAAAACGAATGAGATCAGAGGCAGAAGATTTGGCACTCATCGAGGTGGCGGACATTGCGTTCGATCATCAAAGATAGAGAAAGACAAACGATTCCAAGCCAGGATTCGAGCAAACGTCTGGATGCTTCACAGTCAGTAACAGAACTTTGATAAGATTCTGTACACGAACAAAGACACACCAGATGGTGCTGATACATGTACCGCCCATCCTCAGACCAAATTCCTTTGTATTCAAATTAACATATATGGTAGAAATAGAATGCTACTATGACTCCTTATCACACCCACAGAAGATGCCCCTGAACGATCTAATGTGCGTGATGATGGCAACATCAGCCAATTACAAGCTTAATAATACCATCCAACCGAATTGTCACTTTCACGGGCAAACCCCTAAGGTATATTTGCCATCCCTCTCTGATTGTACATAATTGGCCTCTCTGTAACAAAATTACCTAACTCACCCGTCGTACGGACAGTGGCCACATGCTCGGTTTGCTAGAAGGGTTGATGTTGCGAATTGTTGCCAAGGGCACGTTGCCGCCTCTCTCCTGGCATTTGTGGCGTTCTGCGGCTGGGTCCTATCGGTGCTTGGGGGTATGCACGTGCTCGGTTTGCATCAGCAAAATGGTTTGGGTGCTGGTGCGATCTGTTTTGAGGGCATGTTGCCACCGTTTTTCTGGCATTGTTGAGGTTCTGCCAGTGCTCGGGTTGCCTCCCTTCTGTCGGGGGACTAACTCACCTAACCTTTGTAGGTTAAAGGGAATTTTCCAGCCCTTGCATGTAGATGATTGAAATGCGCCGATTCATAATCATAGTACCCATATATGGGCAGATGAGAAAAGCGGAAAATTAATGGGATTTTCGTACGGCAACTTCGTAAACAAGTAGGGATTGTCAGTGAGATATGATATCAATGCTGTTTACACAAAGGGACTAGCCCCTTATAAAAAGGAGCATAATCATTTGCAGATGAAAGCGTACACAGAGATATTACCAAGAGAAAACAGTGAAATGGAATCACTGACAACTCAGCCTATTAGAATTGACTTCAATAACATTGTCCTGAATGATACCAACAACGGTAGGAAGATCACAGCCTACACTTGGATATACAGCTGGGAGAATGAGCTGGAGTTCAAACTGAAAGACGAGAAATACTCCAGTTAACCATTTAACTGTTTTTATGCTTGAAAAGCAGTGGGGGATGAACATAATCAAACTGAATTGCAATGTTCATCCATTGGAAGCAATTTCATCAAAAAGTCTTGGCGAATATTGAGAAGCTGCATAGCAAGATTGCAAATTCTACAGAGTGCCTAGCATGAAAAATTATTGTGGCAATGAATTCCCTCAGATATAGCAATAAATCAGGGCTGGTCAACACAGTGATGGACTTTATTGAAAATAAACAACAAATTATGACTGCCTGTTTGAAAAGGGATTGTGGAGGTGTTAAACAGGCAGTATCAGAAATCTTTCACGACCGTCGCGGCTTCATCTCCATCGCTGTTGGCATCTGTGAAGGAATCCAGGAAAATCGCCATTGTCAACGAAGTATCGGACTTTCTAGAAGCCGTCCCGGAGGTAGAACCGTACACCCGGTTGAAAGATGCTATCTTAAGAAGAATGGGTCGCACGGAGGAAACATTAATCTGTGAATTATTCAGTAATTTAACTTGTGATGGCAGGACTCCCTCACAACTTCTGCATTTTATGAAAATACTATGGCTGACTCGATTGTGAAAAGCTTGTGGCTGGATCGCCTTCCCACCACCATTACCCAAATTTTGGCGTCTATGTCTGAGAACACCCTGATTAACCAGTTAGCGGATGCCGCTGATTGTATTTTCTCTCAACTGGATCATCAAACAACGCCAGTACACAGCGCTGAAGCAACTAGTGACCACAAGTCCTTAGAGAAAACAGTGGAAGATTTACAGCGCCAAGTTAAACAGGCAGTATCAGAAATATTTCCCCACTGTAGCGGCTTCATCTCCATCGCTGTTGGCATCTGTGAAGGAATCCAGGAAAATTGCCGGCCAGCCAAAATATTGTTTTAGTGTAAGAAGTCTCGCTTTGGCGAATTAGAACTGTGTGAAAATATCACCTTGACTGAAAGATAAGCCGATTCTCTTGGTTTGATCTGTAAATATACATATATATATATATATATATATATATATATATATATATATATATATATATAGCACCAATCATTAAACGATTATCTGGTTTCGAAAATGACCTAAGGGATATCATCAAGGGATTAACCTTCCATAAGTATAAAAATTATTTCCAAAAGAATATATTGATGTTATTGTCAGGGATATTAATAAATCCTGTGACATTTATGTTAAATCCGACAAAATGGCTAACTTTTGTAAGTTATCCGCCAAGGATTATGATACATTAGTTAAAAATGGTCTGACCAGAAGCTACAAAAAATTGATACCAATAATTTTAACCAGATTAATTGTATCAGTAAATCAATTACTGATAACTACAGATTAGTGATCGGGTCAGTAAATTACAAACAAAGAAAGCGTATGTCTTGTTAAAAGAACAAACGCGAATTGAGAACTAAGTCATCTATGTTTATAAACTCTACTAGACCAGAAATTGGTAGAACCAGTAAGACTATCTAGGAAAGAACCAACCACTCCATAAAAAACACCCTTGGAGTCTTACAGAGAATTAATACAGCTGATCTTATCAACTGGTTTAATAACATCCGATATAATCAACTATTATCCCTCTATATTGAAGAATCTATTCACTTTGGCCTTGGATCTCGCTCGGGAATCCTCTAATATTTCTGAGAGTGAAGCGGACA